TCATGATCCCAGAGTCCTGGGATCAAGCCCCACATCAGGCTCTCTGCTCAGCAGGGAGCCTGCTTCCCCCTCCCTCTATCTGCCTCTCTGCTACTTGTGATTTCTGTCTCTCTCTGTCAAATAAATAAAATCTTTAAAAAAAATAAAAAATAAAAAAAATAAAGTGTCTAAAGAGTGATCATGTACATTATCTGCTATGGTCTGGTCATTCTGCATTTTGATCAGAAAGTACTGAAGCAGCCACCATCTTGGCAGTATTGGTAATCTGCTATTTATGACTAACAGATTAGCAGACTCTGTCAATTAAATTTTTATTAACTTTCCCTGTTTGCAGTGTTTGAAGTAGAAAATTCAAAGGGAGTGTATGTTCAAGTTAGTATTTTGCATTACTGTGGAATCAAGTTAGCCTCAAGGTTAAATGGGAAAAAAAGTTAAATGAGATGTGGTAAAGATACAGAATTTGGAAGTATTCCTACCATTCAAGATGAATCTTTATAGTGTTAAGTTCCATATATCATCCATCTTAACATTGAAAAATAAAATTTTCTTTAAACATTGAAAAATAAAATTCTTTATATATATATATATATATATATGAATATTATTTAGCCTTAAAAAGGAATGAAATTCTGATATATGCTGCCACATGGATGAACTCTGGAAAGATTTTGCTAATGAAACAAGACAGCCCATGGGAGACTTACCCTTTCTTACCCATCCTATCTATCCCTTTTTGCAGTTAGGCAGGGCCATGTGACTACTTCTGGCCGGTGGGTTGTGAGCGACACATTCAAGATGAGTTAAATTGCTGGTGCAAGACTGTTTAGTGCTCTCTTCCCCTGCTAGAGTGGGGAGACCTGGTGTTAAAATGATAGAAGCACAACATAAAAGCCTGGATTACAAAGTCATCAATTGGAAATAGTTGGCTACGAAGATTGCCCAGATTCACAAGGGGACATTGGGTGAGGAAGAAATAAACTTTTGTTGTATTAAACCACTGGGCTGTGGAGTTATTTGTTACTGCAGCAAAAACAAGGCTGTCCTAATGCATATTGGAATGCAAATGTTTTGGATTTCTGCTTGAGAGCAACTTTAAAAAATGTATGAAAATGGCTTCGGTTGGGGGGTGGTCCATGGACCTCTGAAATTACATACAAAATTCTGGGTTGTATATTTTTCTGAGACTACATAACTGTCAAGATCTCCCTTCCCAACTTCTACATTGTCATTAGCAAGAGTGAAGAGGGGTCCAGAATTAAAACCCTCCTCTTCCCCCAACTCACAACTTCAATAAATACTTTTTAGATTAGTGAACAGAAGATAGATGGTCTATAACTTTCATCATAATCTCAAAGAGCTTCATGACCCAAAAGAGCTTAAATCCAAACAGGGAGACAAAATATTTCCTAAGGAATAATCCTGTCTAAATAATCCAAATATTTTGAGAAACATCTGAAAAGAGGAAGATCCACCCTTGGTAGATACTGAAATTTGAGTGAAAGTGACCTATAATATCTTTTGTTCTGAAATAATGAATTTCTGAAATGCAAAGGATAGTTTGAATATAGCTAGGTAAGCAAATACAGTGTTGATAAATAAATATGATCAATAAAGTGCATTGCAAAAACTCCAGGACCAACTGCGAAACAAAGAAAAAATTTAATATTTATTATGCATTTTATACAGTAACATCAAAATAGTGCTCAATAAGTTACATAGCTATTTTCTAAAAACACTGCAAAAAAGATAAAATAGTAGGAATGGTATATAACCAGCATTACTCAAAATTAAAAATACAGTCCTCTATCTTTTAAACATTTGAATTGACGATTTCTACATGAACCAAAAATTTTAAATATCTAAAAATCATCTTTCTTAATGGACTGGATAATATATAAAGGCTCAATTTTATTGCACATATTTGGTTTAGGCTTATTTGATCAGATAACATGCAAATTATGAATATGAATTTAGAAGTAGACAGAATGGTATTTTGTACTATAAAAATTGGGTGAAAGTGATACAGTTCACAGCTTAATCTTTAGGAAATTTTATTCAGCTGTTGTATAAAAATCACTAAAATCATCGCGCATGCGAGCTAAGAGCTATTATATATAGTAAAATAGCTCTGTTGGAGCATTTAAAATAAGAAAACAGGAATCAACTCCTCTTAGAACGGACACCACTACCACTCTCCTTGCCACCCAAAAAGGTGGTTTTCACATCTGGTTTAAAAACATTAAATAACAAAGTCTTAAATACAGAAATATATTTGGTTATGCCAAAAGTATTCCCATAATTGACACATAATCAAAATTGTATCATTTTAAATAGGAAAAAAACAGAGGAAACAGGTTAGACATACCCTGTAAACCAGTTTCTAAATACAGCTAGTGAAACTTCTGTTTTACTTCTTAAACTCACTTGGCCAAGCACAACGGTAGTTGTTTCAAGAATCTGTAAACATTTCTCACTTATTTGTATGGTTTCCTGAGGTCATCTAGAAACTATTGTTATTCTAGCAGCTTCACAATTTAGTACCCCTGCAAATGTGCTTTCAAAATGTTCAGAATAAACAAGAAATTAAATGTAGGCCCATGTGTAACTTAACATACTTTCCCTATTACAAATCTATCTTTAGGAAATTCTTAGGTATCAAAATCAAATTTGTTCCATTTACCAGCAGACCCTGAAAAATATTCAGAAACTCTAGGCCATAAAAAAGTAGATTTCAGACTTTGCTCTTTTACCATGAGACGAAAATAAAGTTTCTCTTTTCATGTTACTTCTGGAATAATGTCTAAAACATATATAGGCTTCTCCATTTTAAAGCATGTTAAAATGGTGTCAGCACAGTGTCTGACCCATCTCAGGTATTCAAAAAATACACACTTACTGAACAAATGTTAAGTTAAACATAAGAACTACTGCAGTACTTGAGTACCGAGGTAATATTCTAAAGCTACAATGTATCACTCAATGAAAAATCGTCTTAACTGGTATGCAGAATAAAGCTCATACGGTCTCCTCTTTGATAACTACAGCACTGGTGCATTTCCTGGGCATCCTATTAATGAAAAGAGGAGTAGGCACTTTCCCTGATTCCTGCCCTCACCTATCTCACCATCTCTGACTTGAGCTGTGAAAGGGATAAAGCCAAGAGGCAAGAGAAAAGAATGCTCTTGTTTCTTTCCTATCCTTTTTCCTTCCTTTCCCTTTCCTTCTTTCTCTCACTTTTTTTCTTGTGTCTGTCCATCTACCAATGAAACAGGAAGCATGTGACCATCCAATGAAAAATATGTGCCTCCTAATGGTATCTTTTTTTAGGAGAAAAATGAGGTGACTTGATATTTACATTTGGGGGAAAAGATGGTAATTGTCATTACCAATATGGCTAACTTGAATAATGAGGTTTAACTAATATTTTCCAAAAAAACTCACTGCTCTGGTACTGAAAACTTCAATGTTCATGGATTACAAATAAACATAAAACATTGTTTAATTTAAACAGTTCAAACTGCTTTTTATAGGACCCAACCTGAGTTTGCAGATTAATTTATAAAGATATATTTCTCTATCACATTAAAAAAATCAAGAAAACACTATTATTTCAAATTTGAATACCTTAAAGATAGAATTTGTGCAATGACATTTTTAAGCTCTGTTTTATATATTATTACCATCTTTAACACTAATCACAATTCCTCTTAACCACATATCAAAAGGCAGCACCAGTAAACTTGACAATATTATACAACCTTTTAAATGTTAAGAAGGGTCAAAGGCTTGGTTAAATATTTCCACACATTATCTACAGCCCCTATTCGTATCCTTCCTTCCCAAGAGGACAATGAACTGGAACTAGCCAGTAGCTGCCTGTAGTATGATGTGTTGGCACTAATGATTAGGATGCTTGAACCATGCAGGTATGGGTTTTGATTCAGTAATGCCAGACCCAAGTAGCCATTATTTTTTAAAATTTTATGCCTAAGTAGTAATAGAAGTATGTTCATGCCAAGTATTAAGCCAAGACAGCTCAGTAATTTGTATTCTGCAGGAAGGGTTTAAGTACCAAATTTTTACTGTATTTATTTAAAAACTGAAATGCCAACTTTACACTTCATTAAAATACAAGCTAAGCCCACATGAACTTATTAATGATGCTTGTTGATGACAAAAGTGATCACAAATTCCAAAACCATGATTAATATTTACTGACCTACAGAACTAGAAAATTTTATTTCCCTGTCAAGTATAGTAATATAATTTGGTAATTTATATTTCAAAGTATCCAGTGATCCCATGTGGATTAACAACTTCTATTTACCAATTCTGCTTGTTATAATTATCAATAGTTATATTTTGACGTTGGCTAATTACATGCAAATTATCTTCAATTCTGTCATTAACAGGCTGCAAATAATACGCTGATGATATATTTCAACATCTGTCTAGTTGTCAAAACCTCAAAGCAACAAGCTAATCAATAAATTATGTGTAGGATCCTATTACTGAAGCTACAGTGGTATCTTTTTATAAGGTGGAATCACAAAATATCACGAGGTCACTGTACCTACTGTGTAAGTATATGTTATAACAATGTTTCCCACACAGTGGTATATGTACACTGCTGGACAGCCCTGAGACATGAAGCGGAGTGCTACATGGATGAACAATTTTTCTCTAATCACTATGTATTTTTTATGTCTATTAGAAATAACATAACTAGCACATAAAATGTGAAATATGCTCAAAACAAGGCTACGTTTAAAAATGTAAGCCAAAAAACTCAGGATAAAAATAACTAAACAATGGCACAGGAGATAAATACATACACATACACACACACACATATATGAAATCAGAAAGGTGGTATGCAACTCACATTTGGTAAACACTGTTTTAAGGAACAATATGATTAGCCAGCATCATTTCTGAATGCTGATAGTAATAAGCCACATTATAAGGCGGGGGTTCCTCTACTGCTGCAAACTCTTTTTCTAGGATAAATATTCCTTAAAAACATTTGTTTACATGTATTTTAAGAATATAAGTTTGGAAGCATTGAGTAAATTTGATTTACATTAAAAGGATTCACCAAAGTGGTAAAATCTTCAGAGGCATTTGAGGGACATGCTATTCCTACAGAAAAGACTAGAAAGGCACATTACTATATTATGGTTATGGTTGCAGCATTTAAACAAAAGAGATCTAAAATCATCATCATCACTAAGTATTACCAGATAATTATAATATTCTTTCATAAAAAAGAAGGTACGCTTGGGCACTCAGCGCTCTTGATTCTGGAACCACCTGCACGTAAGTGTCACTAACGTGGACCCACTGGCCTGTCGATTCACTATCAGGTTCCTTCAAATCTAACAAGACAAAAAGAAGTATAATTTTACAAAAAGTATGTTCTTATTCTACATTATAAATAACAATACATTCATCACCAACTCTATCTAATGCTAGATCTTACTGGTGTGTTTCTTCTTGTGTTACACATCTTCCAAAATCAACTAACTCTTTCAAAGCAATATTGGCATCACTTCACTCTAAATACCTACCGAAATATTAGACAGACCCATAAATATTTATTTGCTCAAGGAAAAGAATCATTCTCACTGAAATAGAAAGAAAAGAAGCAAAGCTTGCTCATCCATAGGCAGAGTGTGCACATTTTCAACCCCTACTCTATTCTGAGGACCTGGTAGGTCTTCAAAATCTTTTGGTGTTGTTAAGTAAAATGCCACTCCACCGAAATACACGATGACGCAACACCCTGAAAAACAGTGTGTCACCTCACACCATCTAGAAGGGGACAGTCTTATGCTATTTAAGGTTCTTTAAGGTGATCGAAGTACTCTTCAAGGTATTTCTCACTTAACTTTAACGAAGTGAGTCCACTGGAGGTATCCATGAAACAGATGACCTCTTCCAGAAAAGGAAGAACACATTCGTTTTTAGGAATAACATGAACTTAGGATGCCATACCAGGTACGTATGTCTTTCCAGTGATGCGCTGCAATAATTTCCTGGAGGGTGTTCTCACTTTCACATAAGCTGTGTAGTGACCTCCTCTCATGGAGCCACTGTGTTCCACCACGCCATAGAGACCATAGTGAACTTTATCTCCCACACTTACATTCTTTTAGACAAAGGAAAAAGTGAAATTAGTAATTTTTTTCGTGAAATATTATAAAAAGGAAAATTAAGTCAAATGTATGTCCTGCTTAAACCAAGAGAAACGCATTGTTAAAACAACGAGTTGTGTTTCCACATGTATTAGACTGGCAAAATGCAAAAGCCTGACAACATTCTCTGTTGGCTAGGTTCTGGGGAAAAGAGTACTCACACACACTGCCTGCAGGACCACAAAGGGGTAAAACCCCTTTGCAGGGGTATTTCATGTTATCTAAATTACACAGGTATTTTTTTTTTTTAAAGATTTTATTTATTTGACAGAGATCACAAGTAGGCAAGGGATGCAGGCAGCAGAGAGAGGGGAGGAAGCAGGCTCCCGGCTGAGCAGGGAGCCTGATGCGGGGCTCGATCCCAGGACCCTGGGATCATGACCTGAGCCGAAGGCAGAGGCTTAACCCACTGAGCCACCCAGGCGCCCCTAAATTACACAGGTATTACTCTTGGATTTATCAATCCTATTTGTAGGAGTCTATCTTACAGGTACATGAGCAAAATGTAAAAAAAATGCTATTAGTTATTATTTTGACAATTAGCTGCAGAAATATTCATAATATCAAAAAACTGGAGACATGGGGATATAATGTACAGTACATGGAATATAGGTAATAATATTATAACAATTTTGTGTGGTGACAGATGATAGCTAGACTTATCAAGATCACTTTGTAAGGTATATAAAGGTTGAATCACTATATTATATACGTGAAAATAATATAATACTGTATGTCAACTATACTTTGATTAAAAAGAAATTGGAATAAACCCAAATAAATCAGTCCCCATTAAACTGGGGACTGGTTGAATAAATTATGATGCATTGAGTATTACGTTGCTTGTAAAAAAGAGTGTAGACTATCTCAAAATACTGCTGTGAAATAATCTCCAGGATATAATATTAAGAGTAAGGTAAAAAAAAAAAAAAGGATACGTATTGTAAGCTGTGATTATTTAAGAGTGAAGACGCATATACATATATCTGTTTATATTTTTAAAAATTACAGAGGAATAAACAAATTTTAAATGGTTTATATATAAAGGGAGGGAAGAAACAGGTGGAATGAACATGGAGAAGGAAAGTTATACTTACTTGAATTCGCCTTGTTTTATTCATTTAATACATTTGTTTTTGGAACTATGTAAATATTTTATGTATTTAGCAAAATTTTAAATATTTAAGTTTGAATTTAAAAAGAAATCCCTAAAATGAAAATTTAAAAATTAAACAGGTGAATAATATATTCCAGTTGGCAGCATAATCGTTCAGAGAGAAACCACTAAGGTTATATCAAGAGAACCCAGAAGCCAGCTTGAAGAGCCTTTCAGTAGCCAACTATGGACCCATTTATATTCTACTAATATATTAGAACACAAATAAAAAGAAAAGTGTAGTAAGCTGAAATATATTTACTGTGTTTCAATTCATAAATTAATAACCATAAATTAGGGGTGCCTGAGTGGCTCAGTGGGTTAAGCCTCTGCCTTTGGCTCAGGTCATGATCCCAGAGTCCTGGGATCAAGCCCCATATCGGGCTCTCTGCTCAGCAGGGAGCCTGCTTCTCCCTCTCTCTCTGCCTGCCTCTCTGCCTATTTGAGAGCTCTCTCTCTGTCAAATAAATAAATAAAATCTTTTAAAAAAATCATAAATTAACTGATCATAGTTTTTAAGGATGCCACTGAATTAATTCATTATTCTGAAAACTGGTTTAGAATGGGAGAGGTTAAGAATCAAACATTTATCCAGCCTTTTCTATAAAAACTCTATTATAACTAAATAGATTAAAGGAATTTCTCTCTGTATAGATGTGCTCAGCTAATCAATGAAGAAGGAATGACAGATTTAAAATGTCATCATTCTGTAATTCTTAATGAACTCATGGATCTAGCACTTGTGCATCACTGCTTGCTAATACCACAGAAAGAAAGGTAAATGGCATTATGTGCCACCTGATTAAAACAAAACAAAACAAAACAAAACAAAAACATGCCCTATACAATAGCCTTAGCAGGGGGAACAAAAAGCATCAAACCTGTATCTGTTCAAGGCTCTTAAGAGCCAACTATCTATTTGTAGGAAATAAAGAGGACAGGGGAAGAATTATCAAAATCTAAACTTCCAGAAAGATGACTCAATTTCTTAAAAACATTAATTACAAGGAAGAAAAGGGGAGAGAGGTGGGAGAGGGGAACTATACGTTAAAAGAGACTAGAAGACATCCAATCATTAAATGTATTGACCTTACTTGATACTAATTCATTTTTAAAATTTCACTTGTGAGACAACTGGAATTAAATACATTAGATGATATGAAGGAGTGTTGTTGTTGTTGTTGTTGTTGTTTAGTGTGAAAATGGTATTGTGGTTATGTTCTTAAAAAAGGGGAGGGAGTGATTCTTCTTTTATAGATACACAAAAAAATACTTATGAATGAAATAATGCCTGATATTTGCTTCAAAATAACATGGGAAGTAGTAGGTAAGCATGTGGATATGGCAGGACTGGCCACGTACCTAAGGTTTTAGAGCTAGGTGATGGGTGCTATATAGGTTCCTATTCTGTCTACTTTTGTGTATTTTGGAAATTCTCTGTAAAAAGTACCTTTTAAAAATGTGTTTTTATAAATTTAATACAAACCCTGTTGCCACATTATCAAATTCCATGAATATGGAGTGTTACTAATTGATAGGTAGTGCTGGTATTCTGCAGCAGATAAACTGAATCTGCCAAATAGTTGCTTTTAAGATATTTTTGTTTTGATTAATCAGTGTAGTAAAAATATTAAGTACAAGAGGCATTCCATTCCATACCACAAAATCTAGACTGCTAACCAGGAATCATGAACAGAACAACATGTTACCCCATAACATGTGGTTCCCTCAAGGGAGACAAAGCCATTGATTTCACCTACATAGTTCTTACATACATACAAATACAAGCAATTATAAACCAGTCTGCTTTCTATATCTAATTACTAAAGTATTATCGGTTTTAAAGTATCATATTCAGCTGACAAGTATACTATTTTCAGTAGTGTAGATGAAATGGCATGAAAAACAATGCACTAGAATATTGACTCACAAAAGAGAATGAACTCCACAACTGCTAAAACTGTTGGCAAGCAAGCACATCATTCACAAGGAACAGGAGAGGTCACAAAATCTGCTTACTTCTCTCTGCAACTATCTGCTTCCAGCAGCACTGACAAGCAGCACTGATCTTCCTGACCACCATGCCTCATGGTTTACACAGCTTTTCAACTGTCCCTTACTCTGTCTCCCAAAGGACAAAAGTCATTCAGTGTGTTAAATGTCCCACATTATGGATTTAACTTCACTAATGATAAAATTCTCTTTCAGAGAAGCTGAATGAATGAATGAATGAATGAAGGTATGAAAGAAACAAAGACCTAATACTTCTAAGCATATTATTTACATGTCAATTAAACATCTTAATATATACGATACCTTACAAGTAGCAGAACAGAATGGTGCTAAATCAAGCACAAGTGGAAAATCTACATGTCTGTTTACTTTTCGAAGACTCAAGCCAGCCTTAAAAAGAACAAAAAAACAATTTTAACGCAACAACCATCTAAATCACTGTTAGTAAAACCAAAAGAAAAATCCCAGAAGTTAGCTTTCTTAATAGCTATAAAAACATGACTAACGAATAGTCCAAAACTGATATATAACTTTGACACCATTGATTAGTCTGTAAATATTTCCTTTCTAAGGGCATGAATTCTTTCTGTAAGTTCCTAAATTGAGATGCAGTACCAAATATAAAATAACTGTGGTACATCATGAAATCGGCTTCTCAGATGTGACAATACCCTATCTTGTTCAGAGTAACTGTGTGTATACACCCTTCACTAGTCATTCTCATGTAATGAGACACAAGACATCCGTTCCTGCTCTCCTCGGCCACTTCACTTCCACTGAGTTTCTAATTATTGGCCATCAAAAATCAAGAATTTAGGGGAACCTGGGTGGCTCAATTGTTAAACATCTGCCTTCGGCTCAGGTCATGATCCCAGGGTCCTAGAATCAAGCCCCACGTCAGGCTCCCTGCTCAGCAGGAAGCCTGTTCTCCCTCTCCCACACTCCCTGCTTGTGTTCCCTCTCTCATGGTCTCTCTTTTCCACCATATAAATAAAATCTTAAAAAAAAAAAAAATTAAACAATTTAGTCTAATTTTTCTGTGGATACGGATGGGGGTGTATAGAGAAAAACCTCTTCCTGCCTACCTATGGCCTGCCTGAAATGTTTCAGATATATTATCAAAACTCCTAATCTTTTTCTTGAGATTTCTTCCATGGGTTTTATGCTTAGAAAATCTTCCTCCCAGGCAACTCCCGCAAGTCCCCTCCCTCCTTGGGAGCTTTGTACTATCATCTTGCTATTTTGCTATTATTCAATAAACTCTGCTTTGCTGCCCACCAAAGAAGAAGAAGAAGAAGAATAAAGAAGAATAAAGAAGAAGAAGAAAGAAGGAAGAAGAAGAAAGAAGGAAGAAGGAAAAAGGAAGAAGGAAGAAGGAAGAAGGAAGAAGAAGAAGAAAAATCTTCTTCCCAGAGGTCAGGTTAATATTCATTTAAGTTTTCTTCTAGTCTTTTGAAGATTCGTTTCACACAGTTAAAATATTTATCTGAAAATAGTATTGATATATGGTATAGAGGGAAGCTTTACATTTTTTAATTTCAGCTCTTTTTCCTAAATCCTTTATCAAATAATGTACCCTATGGGGTGCTGGCTGGCTCAGGTGAAGGATTGATCTTGGGGTCAATCTTGGAGTCCTGAGTTTGAGCCCAAACTGGGTGCAGGGATTACTTAAAAATAAATAAACTTAGAAACAAAAGAATATACCTCCTTCCCAACTGATTTGAGATTCTTCCTTTATCATAACAAGAGTTTTAAATAATATTCATGTTTTATTTATTGACAATCTCAACCATACTGTTCTAATGATATAGTTTTATTTTTAAACTGGTGTCAAAAAAATATCGCCCATTCTAACTTTTTCCAAAAAGTTTTAGTATGTCACTTATTTAGTCTTTCAGAGAAATTTTAAAATCATTATATCAAATGCAAAAAAAAAAAAAAAAACAAAAAATGAGACAAGGCACTGGATTAAAACTAAGCATAGAGAAAAATCTGACCCACTAAAAACATTTAGGTTCCCTCTCACTGTAAAGTCCCTACATTTGCATTTTGTAGCCCTTTTGCAGGTAGTCCAAGTCAACCATGCCCAGCCCACCTATCCCTCTCACTGGGCTCAGGAGAACTCAGAAAGCTATGTGCACTTTGCTATTTCCCTGCTTCTAGGATTCTTAATAAACTTTATTTTTCATTCTCTCTCTCTTCCATACACATGTGCACACATGCGCACACACACACACACACACAACTTAGGTTCCTACCACCCAAATCATCAAATACAGTATTATGAATTAAACAATTTTAATTAGGAAATTCTTGTAAACTATTGTGGCTGAAAAAGCAGTAAATTCCTTATGACAAATTTTTATATTAAACAAGTTACTGTCTAATCCTTGACAGCATTTGACAAGGCACAGGGCTCTGTGAAACATATGACAAAATTACTACAGTGCTACTAAAAGGGCTTTTACCTGATGGAATCTTTTAAGATGGAGAATTAGGATGGCTGGAACAGCAGAAATGAGCAATTGTTTCCTGGCATTAGTATAAATTCCTTCTGCTTTCTTTTCTATATAAAATATAATAATTTATTTGTAAAATTCCATTTTATACGTTATATACCATACAACAGAGTTAACATTCATGAAGAAGCATCATATATTTTTAAACATGTTAAAGAAATTAGACTCTGGTGACAAGGGTGCCTCATATACTCCTTTCCAAAACTCCACTGAAATGAAAGTGATTTTTTTTAAAAATCACATGCTTATGAGGACAAAGAATAGGGGAGGTGACACTTGTAATGAAAATTTTGGGAGCTAGGAAGCAGATGGATTAAAGCGACTTATGTCAATGCCCTCCAGCCGAAGACCACCAGAAACACACCTGTAGTTGAAAAAATAGGTCATTACTCATTGTAGTGAAAGGAGATCACGAGTCATGGGAACCACAAGGCATTTCAGTAAGAGGTTGTTAGAAAGTACCTGGGGTGGGATTTGAATATGGCCAACAGCATATTTAACTTAGATTAATAGAAACTGGTATTTCTTACTTCTCCCATCTAGACATTTCTTTAATTACTAGTGTATTAAGCATGTCTTTATTCTGATACTTTGACACCTAGGGCCTTGCTGACATTATAAGGAAGGCTTCAGCCAGAACTAGCAAATTCCTAGATATAGTAAATAAAAGTGTGCCTCTCCTATGCAAACCAATCAAAGTGTGCCCTCATCACACTAGTGTCACGTACTATCCAACGAGAGACAGCCCCATTGTCCCAGAGCCCACTTGAATTATTCAAAACTAATCAATCAGTCCCAAATTCATTGATTCCAATTCCTTCCCTGGAAGCTACAAAAAGGCTCTTGTCCATGTCTTCTCCTCACTCCTTCTGCCTCCTGACCAACCCTGGTGCTTCCCCGCGTGGCCCTGCATGGCATGGCTTAGTGTCCTCCCTCCTCTTCAGAACTGTATGTAACAAACTATCTTTTCAGCAGCAGCTTCTCCTGGTCTATGCGCCTCACCACAACTGGTTACAAAGCCTGCATTTTAAAACAACTAGTCACTAAGAAGCGGAGTACTCTCTCCATATCAAGGCTAGAGATGCACTAGGGAAATTTCTTCTGGAAAGATTTCAGAGAGCTAGTCCACCAAAATAAGATTCTGTGGATTTGCACTTTTCAAGGCAGAGATAGGTATTTTCCTGCTCAATTGACTTCATCAAAAATCCATTTAGGGGGAGCCTGGGTGGCTCAGTGGGTTAAGCCGCTGCCTTCGGCTCGGGTCATGATCTCAGGGTCCTGGGATCGAGCCCCGCATCAGGCTCTCTGCTCAGCAGGGAGCCTGCTTCCCCCTTTCTCTCTGCCTGCCTCTCTGCCTGCTTTGTGATCTCTCTCTGTCAAATAAATAAATAAAATCTTTAAAAAAAAAAAAAATCCATTTAGAAGTGCAGTCACTATCTTCAGTGCTGAGATACAACAATGAAAAAGGTAATTCATGCTTCCAAGCAGCTTAAGTGTAGGGACAAGGCTCTCATGTTCCTCTATTCCGGATCTATACCCAGTGGTCACTGACTGTCAAATACCCCATGAATACGAAGAAAAACAAAAACCTAAATATTCACCTGCAGAACCGGTTTCCTTTTGGTGCCTCTGTTTCTTCTCAGTACAATTCTCACACAGAAGCTTGTTATTCCCCATTAGTAATTCCATAGATGTAAACTGGTAGAAACAGGACTGAAGCGAGCATTCTTTAGAGGCAGTCACATAGCTCCGAGAAAGGGTCTGAAAGGCATTTGGGGGGCGAGGAGACAGCACACGCTTCTCCTCCGAAGAGCACACACTCCTCCGAACACCCCGTGGCTTATTTTCTCTATCAAAATCTCTCTCTCCAGTTACAGGGCTGCTCAGACGAAGTTCAGAAATCGCCTCGGCCACTCGCTCCTCACCGCGGCCAGGCTCGCGGGTGGGTGGTGCAACGGCCGGCGGCTGCGGAGAGGGGGCGCGCGGCTGCACACGGCAGCCGCCGGGGGACACGAAGAGCACAGGCTGCTCAGAAGCACTTTCGGACTCGGAAGGCTCGCTGTCCGCATCAGCGCTGCTCTCAGAAGGGCCGGCCTCCCTCTCACTGCCATCCGTGGCGCTTTCGGTCAGAGTCGACTCGGTATTCGCGGTGCTCGCCGCCGCTGGGGATGCCCCGTTCCTCTCAGGGGGCCCACGTTTCCGGTGCACGACGACTGCCCGATCTTCTCCAGATGACCATTTTCTTACCCATTTTCTGCCATGAACTAGTTGATTCTGTAAGTGGACAGTATTTTCAGAGAAAAGAATCTTTTGACCTTACTGAAAATAAATGCAAGTCTTATTTACACGTTCCACAACTCTTGAATAAATGCTTTTTCTAGACGCTCTGACGTCCATTTCCTAAATCTACCTCACCTACAAGCAATAGAAGATATAATAACAAACAGTTCTAATTTAGAATTAATCTTGATACAAGAAACGCACAAGAGCAGTTACTAATCTGTGGAGAAAGAAGCAAGTCTTTGTAGAACAGAGCTGTGAGGCAGGCTTTTAAGTTACAATCCTTTTTCTAGACTCTGGCCACTTCAAGAGCAGTCTAACAGAAAAAGCTAAACCTGATAATATATCAACTTGCCAAGTTATACAAATCATATCACATAAAAAAAAAAGGTTTTTTTTTAATGAAGTACAAATTTAGATTGATTTCTTTAAGTTTTTATGGGATAATTCAACAACCAGCTATGTCCCTAGTGACATAATGGGTCTAGACAAGAGTCATGAATGACTGGTGACATCAAAGATTAGACATCAAACATCATGTGTGTCTCCTTGGTGGAAGCATACACCACCAGCTGAAAGTTTTCTTGCTAAGGGGTGCCTGGGTGTCTCAGCCAGTTGAGCATACGACTCTTGATTTCAGCTCAGGTCATGATGTCAGGGTTCGGAGAATGAGCCCACATGGGGCTCCACGCTGGGCTTGGAGTCTCTCTCTCTCCCTCAAAATAAATGAAATTTTAAACAAATGTTTTCTTGCCAAAAGTCAAATAAATAATAAAACTTGAGCCTAGTTAGGTTTTTAGATTGAACTGCCTTAGAGAGGAAATAAAGGGACTAAAGAAACCTATTAACACCATGGAAATGCAATAGCAAAATAAATTACTACTGAATGTGGGAATGTGAGAAATTATAGGGAAAAAAAAAAAATGACCTGATTTCTTCAACAAATGCCCTCTGCTTGGGAGCATGCTTCTCCCTCTCCCTCTCTCTGTCTCTCATGAATAAATAAATAAAATCTTTAAAAAATAAAAATAAAAAATAAAAGAGATATAAGAGACATGTGATTAAGAGATGGCAATCAACTGCAGTCGATAGATTTTTTTTTTACTTTTTAAAGATTTTATTTATTTGACAGAGAGCGACACAGTGAGAGAGGGAACACAAGCAGGGGGAGTGGGAGAGGGAGAAGCAGGCTTCCCTCCAAGCAGGGAGCCCAATGCAGGGCTTGATCCCAGGAGCCTGGGATCATGACCCGAGCTGAAGGCAGACGCCTAATGACTGAGCCACACAGGCGCCCCTATAGATCTTTTATAGATCCTAAATTCAAGTACACATTAAAAAGCAAAAACAAAAAAGGTATTTATGAGACAACTACAAAAATTTAAATAATGACTGGATGTTGGCAGTATTAAAAGTTGTTAATATTTTTCAGTTAGGATAATGTGCTGTGGTTATGTCTTCAAAAAAGTATCTTTTATATCAGAATTATTTCAAAAGAATCTGAGATGGGGAAGGGGAGAATGTGGGACAGCTACAGATAAAATATGATTAGCCATGATCTGATAACTGTGAATCTGAGAAATGGGTACATGGGAATTTATTATACTACCTTCTCTACTTTTGTGTGTTTTTGAAACTTTTTTTATTAAAAAGTTTTTTAAAAAGATGTCTCACAAATGCATATAATCTTACCTTATCTTCAGATGAAGACTGGTTCTTGGTGGCTCTGGGTTGAGGAGTATTTTCTATAGTAACAGTGTCACTGTATTGACCATTATCTGTCGCCTGCAAACGTCTACATTTACTCATTCTTCCCAAAAGTACAGGTTTTGAAACCTATATAGATGTCATGTACATAACACAAAACTTCTTTAGGAAATAAATTCTGGATATCATCTACTTTTTAAGATTTCTAGCTCATTTGAAATTAGATAATTTCCTTAACATTAATTCTCAAACTATAATACATAACAGTTTGAAGTCCCTGAGAGTAAGAACTATATCATAATTTATGCATATATACATGAATCCCAGTATCAAATACAGTATATGAACTCCATTATCGTATTAAAAAAAGACTCTCAGATAATGTGATCATATGCTCAACAAATATCTAAGTATATGAATGAATAAATGCCTTCACAGAAGACTCATTAAGTTTCTCCTTACCCTTTCTTCTATTATAGGAAGTGAAATATCAATAAAAGGATCGTTCACTGAGGAGATCTTAAAAAGAAAACATATTGAGAAATTCAGTTAGAGTTCTAATATAGACAATGGAGTTTTATAAAGTCTTAAAGAAATCAAACTTCCCAGGCAACTTAGAATTTCAAGTTAAAAAACATCCCTGGAATAAACCATGATTTTAATTGGGTAGAGCAGCACATACTGTTAATCAAAACAAGATATCCCAAAACCTAATAAATGCAACCCAGCTGAAATTTATAATATTGCCAATACGACTAACTTAGAATATTCAAAGTAACTTCAAAATAAACTGTGTTTAATAAAACTGATTAACTAAATTACATGCCACAATGTAAATCAAATAGAAACATAAAAAAAAAAAAAAAAAAAGCCAGAGTGCTTGACTGTGTTTTGCAGATTCTTTAGGTGAACTCTGTTTAAAAGGATTCTCTCTAGCATGTGAGCGAAAAATCAAGTTCTATGTTGAGAATACTAGAAATTTAAGTAATGTCATGTTGACAAATGCTGTGCTTCAACATGACAGGCTAGAAGGGGATGTAACATATAATCCTGATTTTATAAGACTACAGAGGAAAAGAAAGGTACTCCATAATCTGGGACAGGAAAATCTAACAAAAGTTTATACCTATCATACTCCAAGCCATATGCTTTCAGAAATACTTTTACCAAGTAATTGAAAACCTATAAAAAATGTTTATGTGTTTTAAGTTGTTAAAAGTACAGATGGCATTCAAAATAAAAATTATCATTACATTCAAAGGTGAGTCTACTTTAAACAAAACTTCAAGTTCCATAAATGTAAACTTTAAATAAAATGTGGTAGATAACCCTAAGTTATGTTACTACCTTAAATTATTTCTATTAGAATCAAATTTTAGGGCAATGCATAGTTATAGAACATAGTTACTCCCTTCCCATAAGTTTCTCTTTCATTTCAATCCAAACAAGTAGCTAACACATTCCAGCACATTAAAATAAGCTAAAAGAACTTCACAGGCTTGCCGAGAGGAAAAATAACACTTAAAAAAATTATAAATTATGTTTCTCCTCTGGGAGTGAAGGAGATATTCTAATGACTTTTGAAAACTACTAGGTAGTCATCTGTCACAAACAAAAATAAATGCTGATGACTATATGTGAAAGAAAACAAAAAATGATATCACTGTAATCTATTCCATGTTGAAGTGAATTCCAAAGCACCTACATTTGCACATTCTTCACACATGACTGTGCTAGTTAATTCACCAATAAAGATCCGATCTATGAAGTTCATTTTCACACCTTCTCTTCCATATGCTGTAAAAATAATACTTTTTAATGCAAAAAAAGTCAGCCATCAACCTAACAATGTAACATGCTTTTTCTCTGTTGACTTAAAAGAAATCTGAAGATAGATGTCCAGTACTACATTAATAATATACTTCTTTGTATGATGTACATACATCATACTATATAATGTCTTTCTCCTTTATAATTCTGTAGAGAAAATTTGAATACCAGCTACAGTAGATTCCAAGAAATGATGAACTGTTCTTAAACTTGAGGCAAGAAAAGTAGACCAATAACCATTGTTTATAGCTCAACTGCTCCCATTAAACCCTTTAAAGCCTCTGTGACTAACGTAGAGGTAGACGGGGGGAATGAAAAAGAAGATTATGCTTTTAGGGTTACCGATGCCTAGGCAATAACTATGGAAACAACAGAGTAGTAAAAGACAAGTAAACATAGCATAGTGTAAAGAATTAATTTGGGCAATTAGTAACTCATTTATATATATAATATATACATATATATATAACATTTATATATGTATGTGTGTTTGTGTATATTCAGTTTAAAATGGTAAAATTATTCTGTTTGGGAAATATTTATAAATCAAAGAAAATTATGCCTGTGATCTGCTTCAAAATAATCATGGGTTAGGAGAACATAGGTAAAACATAACATGCCATGACTTCTATGTAGTTTAAGAGGGGTGAGGAGTACATGAAGCTCCGTCATACTATTCTCCCTACTTTAATAGAGGTTTAAAACTTTCCACAGTAAATTATGACAAAAAATATATATTAACAAACTTCACTCCTCCTTCAAACTTCAATCCTTTTTGGATCTCTAATTTCAAATTTAATACAAACAACATTTAAAATCATTTTAAAATATTATCTGAAGCACTGAATGTCACAGCCAACTCATAGCTAGACATATCATTAAACATCTTTAATATAACAATTACTAGAAGTTACAGCAAACTAAGATGTTTCATTAAGAAAACTGTACAAGGGATTAAAAATAGAAAAGATCACACAAAACTGAATGAAAAGCAAAACTGGGCAGTTATATACAGTACATACAGTAGATGGCACTATCTCAAAACAAACAAAAAAACCAAAGCATACATGAGAATCCACATTTTAAAAAATCTTGAATCCTTCACATGAAACTAATGTAACATTGTGTGTCAACTATAATTTAAAAATATCTTGAACCCTTAACTGTATATAGTTTGGGCATGTACAATCATTTTATGAGTTATAGACCTGCAGTATATATATAATGACAAAAAAATAGATAAGAAAATAAATAAAATATAAATAATATTTTGAACACCTTCTAAAAATGATGACTTCATATTACCACTAGTTAATATCTGAAGACTGAATATATAGTTAAGACAAAGCAAATCACTCATATCATTAGATATAAGCCCACACTTAAATATTGATAATTATAAATAATCAGCTTTGATTAGATAATCACTGGTTTTGCCTCATACTTTGGCTGAGGAATAGTTGACACTAAAGTAAACAGGTATGCTTGGTTTAGTACTCTCTCCAATAACTGGTTTCCATTCAGGAATCTTTGGAATGCTTAGGCATTTGACTAGTTCAAACTGTATAATAGCCGTAAGTCGACTTATCCAAGAACAGGTCAAATGCAAAATGATACAGTATGATGAAATGGAACTTCCAAGTGAGGCTACTGCTTTCAACAACCTTTCACATCTCCCTTAGGAAACCTCACATTAGGGTATCAGTGTCAGTCTGTATACTTGATACTAATTTTAGTTTTTAAAGTTCACATGGACACATCCTAGAATTTTCTTTCTATGACTAACTAGACTAACTTGGCAGCCATGGGAGTAAGAACACTGTCCCTTTAAAGCCACTACTTTAAAGAATTAGTTCACATAAATGCTCAGTTCTTTTTCCCCTGAAAAGAAACTTACAATTTTCTTCAGCAGAAAGTTTTAACAGTGAGAGAATCAACATACCTTTGACTTTTTTTCTAGTATCCTCATCAGCAGTTTTAGTAGTTGGGTTGTTAAATGCTTTTAGAATGCTAGCTTGTATTCGCTATAAAACAAATAAGAATTTAGTAAGAGTCCATACTTGAATGTATTCTTATAGATTTAGAGTAAGTTCTCCCTCTTTTCCCTCCTCTCCCCCACTCCGCCACTCTGTCCCTAAAATGATGTATCATTTTAATCAGGACAAAAGGCAACACAGAGACCATGTGGAATTTATCTATTGAAGAAAATCTTTCTATATAAGAAGCTATTAAACTAGTCACTATGATCTTCATCTAGATTATTTATAAACATACATGAGCAAGTCCAGAACATCAAATAATTTCTATAGCAAGAATACCCCAAATCTTGACTAGTTATCATTTTATTTGAATTCAGTTGTCAATAATGAGTATTAGTATTAAAGTCCTTAGCAGCTCTTAGGAAATGAGGAGATTTATATGTTTCCATAGCTCTTACCTATGTTTCAGGAGAGATCCAATATCACAGAAAACTTTTTCAGAATAAAAACCGGATTCCAAGAATAAAGACATTTGAGCTAATAAATTATCATCTTTTATACTAATTATGTCTCTACTTAGTGGATGAATTTAATCTTCTCTAATTCACATTTTTAATAGTTCAGTGAGAGGAGAGCCTGTTAATTATCCTCCAGAAGTTTTTTTTTTTCTTTTTTAAGTAAAGTCTTAACAGGTTTTCATGTGAGACCACTGTTTGACCTGTACTTCCTGAAAATGGTACCTAATTCTGTTATTAAAAAAAATATTATATCAAAGAAAAATGAACCTCAAACTGCAGACTTGCCAGAGAATAATAAAAGTACCACATATCAGAAGCCAGATACTTTCCACTGTTCAGAAGAACACTCACAGCCTTAAATATTTAAAACAATTAAAAAGAATAAAAACAAATGAATTAAACAGCCGAGTCATAAATTTAGGAAAAGGATATCAAAGCTGAATGAAAGTAAATAACAAAACAAAAGAGTTAATGAAAATAAAATATGTAAACTGAAGAGATTAATAAATGAATCAAAAGCTGATTCTCTGGGTGAGGGATAAATAAACCTACTAGCCAACCTTTTTTTTTTTTTTTTAATTTTTTTAAAGACTTTATTTACTTGACAGAGAGAAAGAGATCACAAGTAGGCAGAAAGGCAGGGGGAAGCACGCTTTCCGCTTAGCAGAGATCCCAGGACGCGGGGCTCGATCCCAGGATGCGGGGGCTCGATCCCAGGACGCGGGGGCTCAATCCCAGGACCTGAGATCATGACCTGAGCCGAAGGCAGAGGCTTAACCCACTAAGCCCACCCAGGTGCCCCATCTACTAGCCAATCTTTTTTTATTTTTTTTTTTTAAGATTTTATTTATTTATTTGACAGAGAACACAAGTAGGCAGAGAGGCAGGTGGGGGGTTGGGGGAAGCAGGCGCCCTGCTGAACAGAGCGCCTGATGCGAGCTCGATTCCAAGACCCTGAGATCATGACCTGAGCCAAAGGCAGAGGCTAAACCCACTGAGCCACCCAGGTGCCCCCTACTAGCCAATCTTAATCAAAGTAAGAATGAAAAGCGTTAAGATCAACCTAAGAAAAAGGAAACCGCTAACAAAATTAAAGATATTTCAAGTAATCATGAGAGACTACTTTGCTCCACTCTCATGTAATTACATTTGAAAATTCAGAAAAAATTAGATAATTCTCTAGGAAATGAGTCCCAGAAGAGACAGAGTACCTTCCAGCTTTCATGGGGTAGGTGAATGAGCAGAGAGAGAAGAATGGTGTTACACAGTACTCCTTACAAAAAGCTCCAAGCCCTAACGATTTCACAGAGGAATGCCACTAAACATATGTTTCAGAGCATAAAAAAGAGAAACCTCCCAATTATTTCCATGAAGCATAATATTGCTACTAAAGCTGACAGAGAATATATACAACACACGCCAACATCACGTATGAAAAAAGCTCTAAGTAAAATACAGAAGCACATTAAAAGAATAATATAGTATCATTAAGACTTTTGTTCTAGTAATGCAGGGATATTAGGAAATCTATTCATACAAGCCATCATATTAACAGATATAAGAAGAAAAACATTATAAGATTAAATCCCTTAATTTATTTCTATTATTTAGCACTGTATTGATGTTCTAGTCAATGCATTTGATAGAAAAATAAATCTCAGAGGTATAAAAATTTTAAGGGAGATAAAATTATTTGCAGATGACATGATTTTTTATTTGGAAAAGCCAAAAGAACAAACTGAAATGAAAAACTACTATAAATAATAAAAGAATTTAATATGGGGTATGTAAATATAATGAAGTCAATTAGTCTTCACACACACAAAAACCAGTTAGAAGCAATGGAAGAAAATGCCCCATTTATAATAACTAAAAAGATAAAATAATGAATAAACTTAAAGAATGTGTAAGACCTAAAGGAGGAAAACTTACAAACACTACTGAAAGACACAAAAGAAAACCTGATCAAATGGAAAGACACACCATGTTCTTTAACAGGTCCTAAATAAACCTTTCATTTTTGCCCCCTAAATGTGTTCATTTAACATAATTCCAGTAAAAATAGCAATAGTTTTTTTTTTTTAATGTGAGAGATTGAAGGGAGAGATTAGTTCTAAATTAGATATGGATAAATAAATAATAGCAATGGAAAATAATCAGTGTGGGGGGAGGAAATATACTGACAGATGTTGGTCCCACTAGATTTGATTTTTAATGCATTGAAATGCATTAAAAAATGGGCAGAGGACCTGAACAGACATTTTTCCAATGAAGACATACAAATGGTAGACAGCAAAAAAAGATGTTCAGCATCACTAGTCATCAGGGAAATACAAATCACCCCTCCCATGCGATATCACCTCACGCCCATCAGAATGGCTAGTATCAAAAAGACAAGAAATCACAAGTGTTGGCGAGGATGTGGAGAAAAAGGAACCCTTGCGCACTGTTGGTGGGAATGTAAGTTTGGTGCAGCTACTGTAGAAAACAGTATGGAGATACCTCAAAAAATTAAAAATAGAAATACCATATGATCCAGTAGTTCCACTAGTGGGTATTTTTTTTTTTAAGATTTATTTATTTAATTACTTGAGAGAGAGAGAAAGAGAGCACCAGCAGGGAGGAGAGAGAGAAGTAGGATCCCCGTGAGCAGGAAGCCCAATGTAGGACTTGATCCCAGGGCCCTGGGATCATGAACTGAGCCGAAGGTAGATGCTCAACTGACTGAACCACCCAAGTGCCCCTCACTAGTGGGTATTTACCCAAAGAAAACAAAAACACTAATTTGAAAAGATGTATGCACCCCTATGTTTACTGTAGTGTTACTTATAATAGATAAGATATGGAAGCAACCACGTGTCCATCAATAGATGAATGAATAAAGAAAATGTTCTAATGGAATACACACACAATGCAATAATTACTTGGACATAAAAAAGAATGAAACCTTGCCATTTGTAAAAACATGAAGGGACCTGAAGGATATTATGCTAAGTGAAATAAGTCAGAGAAAGACAAACACCGTAAGAGTTCACTTATATGTGTAATCTGATACAGCTACTCTGGAAAAAAGTATGGAGGTTCCTCAAGAAGTTAAAAATACAGCTATCCTACAACCCAGTAATTGCACTACTGGGTATTTACCCCAAAGATACCGATGTAGTGATAAGAAGGGACACATGCATCCCAATATTCATAGCAGCAATGTCCACAACAGCCAAAGTGTGGAAGGAGCCAAGATGTCCTTCGACAGATGAATGGATAAAGAAGATGTGGTTCATATATACAATGGAATATTACTCAGCCATCAGAAAGGATGAATACCTACCATTTACATCGACATGGATGGAACTGGAGGGTACTGTGCTAAGTGAAATAAGTCTATCAGAGAAAGACAATTAAATGGTTTCACTCATATATGGAATATAAGAAACAGCGCAGAGGCAAGGGAAGCAAGGGCAAAAATGAACTATTGGGACTTCATCAAGACCAAAAGCTTCTGCACAGCAAAGGAAACAGTTAACAAAATCAAAAGACAACTGACAGAATGGGAGAAGATATTTGCAAACAACATATCTGATAAAGGGCTAGTATCCAAAATCTATAAAGAACTTATCAAACTCAACACCCAAAGAACAAATAATCCAATTAAGAAATGGGCAGAGGACATGAACATACATTACTGCAAAGAAGACATCCAGATGGCCAACAGACACATGAAAAAGTGCTCCACATCACTTGGCATCAGGGAAATACAAATCAAAACCACAATGAGATACCACCTCACACCAGTCAGAATGGTTAAAATTAACAAGTCAGGGAATGACAGAGGCTGGCGAGGTTGCAGAGAAAGGGAATGACAGAGGCTGGCAAGGTTGCAGAAACACTGTTGGTGGGAATGCAAGCTGGCACCACCACTCTGGAAAACAGCATGGAGTTTCCTCAAATAATTAAAAATAGAGCTACCCTATAACCTGGCAATTGCACTACTGGGTATTTACCCCAAAGATGTAGTGAAAAGAAGGGCCATATGCACCCCAATGTTCAAAGCAGCAGTGTCCACAATAGCCAAACTGTGGAAAGAGCCAAGATGCCCTTCAACAGACGAATGGATAAAGAAGATGTGGTCCATATACACAATGGAACATTATTCAGCCATCAGAAATGATGAATACCCAACTTTTGCATCAACATGGATGGGACTGGAGGAGATTATACTGAGTGAAATAAGTCAAACAGAAAGAGTCAATTATTACATAGTTTCACTTAATTGTGGAGCATAAGGAATAACAAGAACACTGAGGGAAGGAGAGGAGAAGTGAGTTGGGGGAAATCGGAGGGGGAGACGAACCATGAGAAACTGTGGACTCCAAGAAACAAACTGAGGGTTTTAGAGAGAAGGGGAGTGGGAGGATGGGTCAGCCTGGTGATGGGTATTAAGGAGGGCACATATTGCATGGAGCACTGGGTGTTATACATAAACAATGAATCTTGGAACACTACATCAAAAACTAATGAGGTACTGTA